TCCCCGTTCCTCTCTCCCTTCCTGCCTTCCTTCCTTCCCCCTTCCTTCCTTCCTTCCTTCCTTCCTTCCTCCTTCCTTCCTTCCTTCCTTCCCTCCTCCCTCCCTCCCTTCCTTCCTCCTTCCCTTCCTTCCTTCCTTCTCCTTAAAACCTCTCACTCCAAGTCCCTATTAAAATATACAAACTGGGAGGTGAAGAGTGAGAGGTTGGAGCCCTGGGGGCTCCTGGGTGGGGCCTGACCCCAGGCTGAGGCCTGACTGCCCCCCCCCCCGGGCCACCCCCAGCTCCGGCAAGGTGGTGCCAGGCTGCCTGGCGAAGCTGGTGAACGAGGATGCTGAGGGCATCGGGGAGATCTGTCTGTGGGGCCGCACCATCTTCATGGGCTACCTGAACATGGAGGACAAGACACGGGAGGCCATTGACGCCGAGGGCTGGCTGCACACTGGGGACATGGGGCGCCTGGACACAGACGGCTTCCTCTACATCACCGGGCGCCTCAAAGGTGAGTGCCGCTGGCTGGCTTCTGGCCACGGGCATTTGTGTTGGGGGGATGAGCTGCTGCTGTTTGTTCCCCCAGTCCTGAGCCCGTATCAAGTTCGTGCACTTGGACGGACAGCATTTTACTTCCGACTAGCTGGCTAGTCCTTCCCCCCTTCCTCCCTTCCTTCCCCCCTTCCTTCCTCCCTTCCCCCTCACCTCCCTTCCTTCCTTCCCCCCTCCCTTCCTTCCTCCCTTCCTTCCATTGGGCTCCCTGCTCAGCGGGAAGCCTGGCTTCTCCCTCTCCCACTCCCCCTGCTTGTGTTCCCTCTCTCTCTCTCTCTCTCTTTCTATCAAATAAGTAAATAAAATCTTTAAAATAGTATGGTTAGAGGTCCAGGTCCAGGACTGGGAGGGAGGGGGGAAGGAAGGAAGGGAGGGAGGGAGGGAGGGAGGAAGGGGGGATAGTGGGGGGTCGCCCGGCTAGTAATGGTGGAGCTGGGATTCAGACTCTCTAGAGAAACCAGGCAAGTCTTTCCAGAAGATTCTGGGGCATAAATATCATGTATTTTTACGTGCAAACATCGGCATGGTATCGAGAACACAGACTGGATATAAAATTTAAAATAAAGCAGGAGACTTCAGAGAAATTTCCCATGAGGAATGTGGCCCTCCCAGGGGACAACTGGGGACTTGCACGGAAAAAGTGGAAAAAGTGCTTTGCTCACTTTGCACAAGGGGGTGTAAGCCCAAACACATCCATGGGGAGAAGTCCCCGCCCGTTTCCCAAGGGAAACAGCTCAGTGAGTGGGCGAACAACTCTGAAAATCTTGCAGTCAGGGGTGTCATCCAGCCCGGGCTCTGCTGGCCACAGAGGGCTGGCTCTCAGGGTGGTCAGGGCAGGCCTGGCCTGAGCCTTGGGAAGAGCAGGGCAACAGTCCTGGCGACCCTCCTGGAGCCCACCCGCACACCGCCGGGGTCTGCGAGATCCCTGCACGCACCGTCCTTCTGCGCGGGCAGGCGGAGAGCACCGCCTAGGGCCCGGCTTGGTGATGGCAGGTGAGGCCTGCATGCTGAAGGGGAGGGGTAGTAATGGGAAACATCCAACCGGACTCGGACGTCCTTTAAAACAGTATGGTCAGGTGGTGCCTGGGTGGCTCAGTCGTTAAGCGTCTGCCTTCGGCTCAGGTCATGATCCCAGGGTCCTGGGATCGAGCCCCGCATCGGGCTCCCTGCTCCGCGGGAAGCCTGCTTCTCCCTCTCCCACTCTGCCTGCTTGCGTTCCTTCTCTCTCTCTCTCTCTCTGTCAAATAAGTAAATAAAATCTTTAAAATAGTGTTGTTAGAGGTCTGGGCCCAGGTGCCTTTTCTCCAGATAAGTATCCACCGACCCAGCCTCACTGCCAAGGAGACCCCCTCCCCGCAGGGCATTACCCACCAGGGCCCTGTGCAGGAGGTGGCTCGTCTGCCTGTCCCTGTACCCCGAGTATCTCTGTGATACAGCCTGTTATCTGGCTCTGTGAGGCCTAAGGCCTTGGTCTTCATCTCTGAGACAACCTTGGCTAGAATCATGCCAGTGGCCTCCAAAAACTTGCCAGGTTTTGATTTTGATTTCACTGGATCTATGGCTTAATTTGGTGAGAATGTGTCTCTTTACAACACTGAGTCGCCCAATCCATAAACATGGTATAAATTGCCCAGCACTGTGCAGATATACTGAGAAATGTCAGTGAGATCATTTTCTGGGTGAATGTAACTACTAAAGAAAAGATGGTAAACTTAAAGAGACTGATTCTGGGGAACACATCGTGACCGTCCCCCCACCACATACGCACAACACGCTGGACCAGGAGGTTCACTGAGAAATTTTAATGATACCTCACCTGATTTGAGCATAGAAAAAAATTTTTAGTGAGGTGAGTATAACATTGATACCAAAATCTGAAAAAGATTGTATTTAAAAAGAAAACCGTAGACCAGGGGCGCCTGGGTGGCTCAGTCGTTAAGCGTCTGCCTTCGGCTCAGGTCATGATCCCAGGGTCCTGGGATTGAGCCCCGCATCGGGCTCCCTGCTCTGCGGGAAGCCTGCTTCTCCCTCTCCCACTCCCCCTGCTTGTGTTCCTGTTCTCTCTCTGTCAAATAAATAAATTAAATCTTTTTAAAAAAAGAAAAGCGTAGACCAATGACTTTTATGAATATATATGCTAAAATCCTAAAAGAAATACTAGCAAAAAGACTAGCAATACTAGTCTATGCCAGCACATTAAAATGTAACCCATCATGACTAAGTGGGATTATTCTGGAAACCCAGGGATATATAATGTAATTAATCCCATTAATAGAGCTTTAAAATATTTATGATCATTTCCACATCTATTGCAAAGGCATTTAACAAAAATTTAATATCCTCCTTCATGGATAAAAACAGAAACGGTAGCTCCTTCCTTAACATAATGAAATGGGAGTCTCCCAAGCCGGAAGCCAGCCCCAGTCCTGGGAAAGCCAGACCCCACGCCTCAGAAGGAAGGGGCAGGCCCGGTGCCCGCGGTCACGCCCGGCCTGTCGGACAGAGCAGGGTGGCATCATGCACAGCAGCGGCTCGCAAACAGGTCAGGACATCGCCGTAGGGAATCCGTGGCTTGTGCGAGCGCGTTTAGAAGGCATCGCAGAAGGAACTAGTCCGTGCACGATAGCAACAGAGACGACAGAACGTTCCACATGAAGAAGAAGGGGGCCCTTACCGCTGCTGGAGGAAAACAGAGAAATCCGTTATCCCGTTGGAATGCGGAAGATCTACAGGAGCCAAGAAGAGGGACTCACGAAATTCCACTACGTTAAAGACAAACCTCCACGTAGTCAAAGGGCCCTGAGCAAGGACAGATGTCATAGCCGGGAAGACTCGCCGGCAGCTCCTGATGGGTCACGTGACCCGGAGAGCTCGCTAGGAGCTGGGGTTTGTAGGTTTCTCTCCAACTTTCTGTGCACACCATCCGACCGTCTCCAAATGCCGACAGTTTTGTTCCTTCTTTCCATTCCTTCTGGGTGTTTCTCTTGCCTCTTGCACTGGTAGGACCTTCAAAGCAGCGGTGAACAGACGTGGGGACACTGGTCTTCCATGTACTGTTCCTGATCTCTGGGGAACGCTTTTGACATTTGATCCCTGAGTGTTTCCTGTGGATTTTTGGCAGGTGCTCCTTTCTGTGCCCAGTTTGCTTGAGGGCTTCTATGCGTACTAACTCGTGAAAGACTCTGGTAGGAGGCAGAGAGGGGGAGGGGGCCAGAGAAAGCCCCAGAAGGAGGAAGGCAGGGCTGGTGACTGTTGCTGGGCTCTGCCTGGCCGTGGTTCCCACCCCACCCCACCCCTGCTGCCCCCGACAGACCCCGGTCTGAACGCTTCCTCCCTGGCCAGCCCACGCCTTGGTAACCATTCTTCACCCCACTAGTGCCCTAAAACTCTGAGCCCCAACCGCTTAGAGGCTGCCACCCACCCGGGCCGCCCCTCAGCGGGCACTGGAGGGGCCCTGCTCCCCCCGCCTTTGCCTCCCTGTCTCACCTGCCGTGCACATGTGCCCTCTGCCTGTTAGACCCAGTTCATGTGCAACATGCAGCTGGGCCGCGAGCCTCCCTGCAGCCAGGGTCTGTCTCGACGTCCACACGGGACCTGCACACGAGGGGAGTAACTCATCTTTGTTGAACTAGAACTGGGGGGCCACGAGCTAGCAAAAGCAGTCAGGGGTATTGAGTAAATGTCCACTTAATAACCATCTGTTTGGCAGTAATCCACCTTCCAGGGAGGAGGCCAGAGCGCTAAGTGCCCCCAGCTGGTCTTGCACAGATGTGCTCGGTAGACCCCTGAATGAGTGAGGCGGTGGACGAGGGGTGGACGCTGTGAGAGCAGCTCCGGGAAGGGAGAGCCAGGGTTCCTGGAGGGGAGAGGGCTTCCTGAGAAGAACACGCGGTGTGTTAGAGGAGACAGGAGGGCGTGTTGGGAAGGTGTAGGCGAGGTGAGAGGCTCATAGCAGGAGCTCTGGAACCGTGCTGTGCTGTGCTCCCCCACGCTACTCCACCTCAGACAAGCCACCTAACCTCCCTGTGCCTCGGTTTCCCCATCTGTAAAATGAGCTTCTTCATAGGCCCATTGTGAGGGTTCAGTAAATCACTGCACATGTAAGACTTAGCACAGCACCTGGCCCATGGTGGGTGCCGGGCGCCTGCCGGGTGGTGGCAGTTCAACTGCAGGACGATGGCAGCGTGTCCAGGGGCGATGGATGAGAAGTCTGAGCAGGCAAAGTCTTGGAGGATGAGCAAAGGAGTGGGAGCCCTGAGTGAGCATTTGTGCTCCAGGAACTGCCACCGTCCCCCAGCAGGTGTCCCCCCCAGCAGGTGTCCCACCCCAGCAGGTGTGTCCCCCAGCAGATGTCCCCCCAGCAGGTGTCCCCCCCAGCAGGTGTGTCCCCCCAGCAGGTGTCCCACCCCAGCAGGTGTGTCCCCCAGCAGGTGTCCCCCCAGCAGGTGTCCCCCCAGGAG